ACATGCTCCTGAACTAAAGATTAACTCATTGCAAAACTTCCCTTGTAGTTCTTTACTCTGGAAATTAAAATTCAAATAGTCTCTTTGGCTTAGCTATAGTTTTTTAACTGAATCATGAATTCATATAAAATATTTAAAAATAATCATTAAAAATTATAAACAGATAAAAGCTACCCATTTTAGAAGTTTAACAGTAAAGATCTACTCTCAAAAGCATTTAGAACTTCCACTTCTTCTACTCCTTGGAAACATTTATGCTCCCTGCTGTCTAACATTAATCCCCAATCTTGACATCTGGTTCAAGGTTAAAGAACAAGAACAACAAAGGCAGTACAATCATTCTCTTCAAAGAAAAGATTAATTCTCTGCACTGCACCAGTTCATCAGGCCATTGTAAATGGCTCAACTGGCCAGCTGGCAGTTCACCAGCCACGTACCAATGTAGCAGACACATGGTATGCCCTAAAAAGTCAAGTTCTTTCTCTTCCGAAAGAAGGGAGTGCTACAGCAGATTTCTTAGCTGAACAGATAAGAAAACAAAAGGAAGATCCAGCAGATGCGTGTAGGTGGACATGAGTAACTATGGAAATTGCTTATTAGGTTACTAAGATTTACAAGAAATTGATAACCTAGGCATTACATCCCCATAAAACATCAGGATGATGATGATAACCATTTGTTGAAAGGCAATACAACAGATGTATCATTGCTGTGAGATACTAATATGTTACAAAATTCCTTTACAAACCTTAGGTGCATGTAGAGTTTTCACCTTGGATGTCTCAGCAACCACTCTGATTTGGAAGAATCTATCTCATTGTCAGAATCAATAGCAGTCTGATACCCCTTCATATTTTAAATATCACAAACTTAACTTTACCTAGGAAATATCACCTGGTGAATCAGTCTTGGTAACCGAACTACGTTAGTGATCATGCTCAAAGCTTGACAGACGTGAGTCTAATAGAACAGTGAATAGTTGTGTTTCTACAAGTAGCTGCACAGAGAATAGAAAAGAGGCAATGAGTAAGCAATGGTACTTTAATCAATCATCTACATACAACAATGGAAAATTTAAGCAGGTTCAAGTTTCACTTTAGTTGTGTATTTTTAAGACCACGTAAATCTGATGTCAGTTAACTCCATAACTCTTCTACAAGTTCATTGCTCTCTTCTGTTCTATCCAACATTTCCATCTTGCCAATAAGTTTTCAGTCATTTCCATTATGGAAATGTGATGAGGTATCTATCCAGTAAATTTTAATGCATGATATTCTTGAGAATTCAAGACGTGACAGCACATAAATATGTTAATATGATTGGCTAGCCTGATGATTATATACAATAAGAATGACAATCACATGCTCTATCTATACATTAGAAAATAACAACAATTAACTGGAATTCTATATAAAAGGTGTCAGTAAATAAAGCAAATTACCTTAATAAATGGGCGGTCCCTAGTAGGAAAAGAATCAATATAGCTATCTTTCAGCAGCAAGCAAACCTGGAAGTCAATCAAGGATTCCCATGTCAGAATGAAGCTTAGATGTGGAAGTTGATTTTATGGAAGAATTGGAGGAATCCAGATAAACAATGAGAATAGAGTTGCTAACCCGGTCCTTGTTCGATTGTACACTTGTTATTGTGTGAGACCTCAAATCTGCACAAAGAGATTCCATGTAGTGCCTCATGATTGTCAAAAATTGGTTTGCAGCTTCAGCCTGCATGATTACAGAATGTGTTCGAAAATTAATTCAAACACAAATACAATGTTCTCTTTTTCTTTGTTTGGCTTTGTTAACCTATTCTCTCAATATATTTGAGGCTACCTCCACAGATTTTTTTTCTTCTTATGGAAACCTTAGCCATTTAACAACAGCATGGCACTCTTTAATCAGTTAAGAACAAATTTATGTAACATTGCTTTGAATAGTTAGATCAACTAAAACCAGCATGTCTGGTTTTTCAGGATCCCATTGTGAGTCATTTCACATTTCCCAAAAAGGCATCCATCCTCACTGAGCTTTACTCTCATGTTGCTAGCAAAAATGATCTCAAGTCCCAAAATCAGCAAATAAAAACTTCCAAACTCCGTAAGTAAACCAGAAATGAATGACTAAAGAATCAACATGACATTATGATGCATTCATCTTTGAGAAGAAAAAAATAAAATAAAATTTTAGAAACAAGCTTAGTACTATAAAAATTTGAAAAGAGAATCAGTTGAAGGTGGCAGATGAGATTGTGTGTTACATGCAGTGCTCAAAGGTCTCGCAAAGAAAACAATAACTTAAAACTGTAAGTTTTATATACTGCTTTTAACATGAATATTTCTTCTCAAATATTCAAGGGCTTAATCTTAAATTGACAGAATCAGCTAAACAAACCATTCTTCTAATATTTCTTCCCCAGTCACCCCATTTATAGAACTCCTTTCTTGTCACAAAGTAGACCACTTGGTCTAAAAACTAGTTTAAAACTCAGCATTGTTTATGCCCCCCACTCAAATTGATGAAACTCGGTATGGTGTATTTATAAAACATGTATACACATTTTATTATTTCTCTCTGGTATAAACACAAAGCTTATAATATTAAAGAAGATGGAAAATGAAAGCAGAAAAGCTCTGAGCTTGATTTGAGCATAATCAATACACACCTGCACTTCATTGCACCTGTATACAGGATGCCTTTTAGCTACAGAACCTTCAAAAGCCATTCTGGCATGTATGGGCCCAAGTTCATGTACAAGCTCTCTATAATGAGGAAGTGTAGGCAAATGACATGTTTTCACCTGGACAACATTTAAAACAACAATAAGAAGACTGAAAAGATTAGCTACAGTTAAAGTGTCTAACCCAAAACCAAGTGCCACAGGTTGAGAGGTGCAACTTCAATCTAACACCAAAACCTAAAACTTAGCTGATGTTCAACAAAACCACTCAACAGTTACCATAGAGATCTTCAAGAAGAATCAAAAATAAATTTTTCATACAAGTCCCTTGAACTTTTAAGCACAACATGAATGGTAATGATGCCTATCCAACTATTTTGAATAGGGTTTTTCTAACTTGTGCCTTCAGGGTGTATTTATTACATCTTTTTATTATTAATATACATAGAAAAAATAAAAGCTAACATTAATTTTATCAATTGTCCAATTAAAAACATCCACATGGCTTGGGTGCTAAAAGATACATTTATTGCACCCTTAACAGGAATGTGTATGGTGAAGTCGACTGTTGTTTGTGTTTAAGAAAAGGGAAAAAAGGGGATTTTGAGCACTAGCAAAGTACAACTGAAACATTATAATCTATGAAAGCATTTTTTGTTCCTCCAATTTTACAAACATGGAATTGAGAAACTATGGCTCTTGAATCCAAGTACCAAGAAAAAATCATTGTTAAGAGATCACAACAACCTGGTTCTTAATCACGTTGACAAGAACAAGATCAGATGTTTTCAACTTCAAATCAGCAGGCTTATGTTGTAAGCCAACCTGCAAAAGGAAGATACAAAACACTAAATTAGAAAACTCTCCAAACTCCAATTAATGTTCTAAACTGAATTGGAAGAACAAGCTCATAGTCTACCCAAGTCCTTTTTGGATCTCTAGTTATGAATTATAATCCATCACCTTTTTGTTGGTAAAATTAAAACAGCATGCTATAGAATGTATGAACAGAAAATGTGAACTCACAAGAAATGGCACTGGTGCTTCAAGAAAATCAAGCATCTTCACTGGTAGTACCTGGATGAAAACAGAGAATTTAAGTGATTATAAAAGGTCATTTATATTGAATCCACAGATATGAAACATGTAAAAGAATTACCAAAATGTAATTTTTCTCTATTTCTTCCTTTTTCTTTGATGGAGGAGAAATAAAACTGAAGACCCTAACCAATGAAGTAATAATAGTGAGGACATCGCCTCTTATATTTGATTACAAGTAAATACAATTCCTATTCCACAACATTTAATGTGAATTCCACTTTGATCCTTAAACCTTTTTCAGCTAAGCATGTTTCTAACATAAAGTGTTTTACTTTGGTCCAATGGTCATATTTACTATTTAAACAGAATGAAGAATCCACATAGGAACCAAAGTGCAACTTAGTTGGACAGACCTAGACATTATTTTAGCAAAATAAGTTGTTAACCTTTTCCATTGTCTAGTTTTGATTAAATCATTATAGTTCCATGATTCCATCCAATTTAAAGGATGAAAATTCTAATAGGTATCTAGGTATGGACCAATTGGTGCCTATATTGGCTTTTCCATCCAAATTAATAATTATACACATGGTTAGACTCAATTAGAACAATTAAAAAGGTTAAAGACCAAAATGAAAGTAAACTCACTACATCTCCGTGGACTGAGAAAGATATTTGACTATTTAATAACCAAAGGTAATAGATTTGGTTTCAACTTAACTATAAGATGGACATCAAAAAGAGTATTCTAAAATAGAATCGCAAATTTTGGTGTTTTAAGTCAGACACCAATGGTGGAGAAGATTTTAACTGTCTGAACCAAAATGTGTGCAGTTGGGAGAATCTGCTCCACTACATCATTCCTCAGTCTGATTAGTGGCTGATAAGCTCATTTTTGTCTGGGTGTTTGAACACTCCTGGATTTCATTCTTTCTCTATTTTCTCTTTTACTTCTTGACTCCAGACAATTTCACAATTAGGAAGCTGCAGTTTATATTTTGCACTTCCCTTTCTTTAGGTTGGCAGCTTCCATTGTATGCTTCAGTTATATTAATAACTTAGACCAACTATTTATCTAATCAAAGCAACTTGAGATGACTTAAATTTTAAGAACAAGGTTATGCCAAACATTAAAAGTTCAAGCTATATCTAGAATGATCCATGCCAGCTTCAAAGTTCAAATAGAAAATAAAGTGATGTAATACTATGGTTCTTACTGGAAGTAGTAAACTCTGCCACTGAAATGGACGAATCATAGGAACAAGGGATAACACTATTGCAGAGAGAACACCCTGCATTCATTGGTCAAAGTCAAAGCATTTTAAAAAAGAATCTTTCCCAGGTCACTAGAGATGTAAAAGGCTGCAAGTAAAAAATTGTGTAAAATAAAAAAAGTGCAGATCACTTAAGTACACAGTTATTGCAACTCACCAGATTTGGACAAACCACAACAATCTGTTTTTCAAGAAGTACTCCAGCAACCAGTGTCAGAACCTGTTAAAGACAACATCAGATTAAACAAAAATCTTCCCACTACAATTTGTACCATCACTTATCCAGAAAACGCAAGAAGGAAAGATTTAGGATGTAGATTTTTTTTCTTCTTCTTCAAATTAATAGGTAAAGTCCTTCATTCTGACAATATGAATAATTGGATTTAGAAGACATAGAACCACTCTTAAATCATTGCCAAAAACTACAATCAAAACATCAAATAAATCGTAAGTCCCAGGAAGAGCTATTTTCCCTTGTTATATTATCGTCTCTTAAATCATACAAATCAACTATTCATGTGCATATGGAAAAGTAAACTCTAGCATTGCTTCAACTTAACATTATCTAATTAGATAACTCTAAAATTGGCTCGTACATGGTTCACATAAATCAGTGACTCAAATCAGCCTTAACATGCCAACCCAACACAACCCATGACTGAATTTTGTTTTTGCATATGGAAAAGCAAATCATAAAAACCCCAGCAAACTCAAGCTAAGTAATTATGCACCAAAAGAACATTACACTTTCAAGTGAGAGAACTCGACAAATTGCAGCTGTTGTCCATATTGAGAGTGCAAGAGCTTCCTCAGAAGCAGCCAACTTTGCATTCACCTTTAAAAATGTTCAAATTATTTGGTCAAGCTACTAATGAAAATTGAAGGAGTAGGGACCATTTGGTAATTAAAGAAATACCTCTGCAGCTTCAAATGTTGCATAATACTTTTCATCGAAGCCAAGGGCAGAAAAAGGAGGTCGCATATACTCAATAGCCTGTAAGTGCTCTAGAGGCTGAAAAACTACCACATTTCCCCTCGAAGGAAGAGGCAATGCATGATAACCACAAACTATTTGTAATAGATCATTTTTATTTTCCTATCAAAGAAACCAGATAAAGAGACAATCAAATTGCAGTTAGAATATCCTAATGTAAAATAAACAAGGGAAAATAGAAAAGAAAAAAAAAAAGGGGTAAAAAAAAGGAAAAACTAACCCTAGCCCATTCCATTATTGAGTCATCCCCAAATTCATTAGTTGAAAACAAGTCGTCATCGTCATCGTCATCCTCTGATGCAATGCTTCTAGCTGGACTGCCAAGGATAGCAGTATATTACTAATGTTATACCAGGAAAAAAGTGAGAAATGTTAACAGCATACAGCTATCCAGTTTAAGGCCAGGTTAATGACACAGTATATATATAACATGAATCTAATTAACAGCAAGGATCTTTCAAGTATCTCGTTGCACAGGGAAACTTTCTAGCTATAATACACTAATGACTTTTTAAATCTAGCGCAAAAATATTAAAAGAAACAGTTATCATCATCCACCACCTGAATAGAGATTGGGAACTCCCAATACGCTCTAGAGTCTGGCTCCTTGAGCAAAAAGTTGCTCCAATATCTGGGGAAGCATGGCCATTTTCATAGGATCCACAGGATCTTTCAAAACCATCTGAACGATTGTCTAAGGCCTCAGAAACATTTTCATCAAAACATTGCGTATTCTTTCTAATATCCTTGTCTATTTCCCTTGCATGACAAAAATCTGAAGCCTCACTTGCAGCTGTACTTTCAGGCGATCGAGGTGAACATATCTTCAGTGAAGCAGATGGAACCTCATCATCTGATATAATTCCAGCAGCAGCAGCAGTAAGAGCTAGGGCACTATCAACAGGTATTGCGGAAGCCATCCAATCAGAATACTCCTCATCAGGAGAGTCAATGTTCTCATGCATTAGTTCATTTCTCTTGGACACTGATGGAGCATAATCAGTGAGAGATAGAGACATTTCACTAACAAACTCTGTTATTCTATTCAGGCGCTCCTGTGCAATGATACTGCATGCAAGTGAATAAAATATAATGAATCTATTGGTTCTTCTTCAGCAAAAGATAGAGTTTAACATCTTCCACATATTTTAGTAACAACTAATTCTTAGGGACCATTGGACAAAAAGAACTGATCCTAACCTGTTTAACATCTCATAGTGTAGCTCAAAGAAAGGAACTCTAGTTAGTAAGCAATAACAGCGAGGTGCAGCAACCAAAAACCGATAAAATGCTCCAGATGAATGAATAAGGGGTGATGTGCCACCTAAGATACCAGGTGGCCTCTGAACAACTTCTGTTACATGTAAGCAAATCCCATAAAGTGTAGCATTATCAGCCACCTGATCATGAGAACAAAAAGTGTTTCAGCACCAATCAATTCCTGCTTCTCCTCTTAGCCAAAAAAGAAATAAAATAAAAAAATAAAAACACTAAGACACACTAGAAGACTAAAACACCCCTGAAATTCCAACAAGCAATAAGAGATTAAGCAGTCACTTTCAAAGAAAAACTCATTTTCTGGTCAGTTTTCAGAGTGGAAATCTGAAACAGGTTTGAGGGCACCATAGAATGGAAGAGTGACCAAGCCCAGAGTCATTTATAACAAAGAGAAACTTTCTCCAGCCCTTGATTCTTGCCATGTCATTGGCACAGATGCTCTTTTCACTACCAACCTTTCTGTCTAGTTGTCTCTGTTGAATGCCAGAGTCATGTCATGTCAGGATGGGAAGTATTATCCCTTTGGAATCATATGGAGATCAAGCAATCTTCTTTGTTCAAGAATAAGTATCCCTGATAATAGTTAGTCCTTTAAACGTTTATTTATGCCTTTACCTATTAGAATCCTGATGTGATTTATTTACACTTTTAATGACAGAAAAAGTGAAGTTATGCAGAGCATTTTAACATAATGTTTGCAAGAACCCTTCATGCTACCATTGTAGTCGATATGTGAATTTGGTCTTCTTAAGTAAAGTTTTTATTAGAATTTAACCCTGGGATATAAAATTCTATCCAGCGTTTGAAAAAAGAATGTAATCTGCTCTCATAGGGTTAACAGATATCTGGTATTTCTCAATCCTAATTTTTTCTGAAGGCAAGTTTCCGTAGAGTTCCTCATCGTGCTCCTTTATTCATTCACGTTCACTTCCTCTTTCTTTTATCTTTCTTTTCTCAGTAATCAAATTTAATTTAAGAATCAGACTCTAATCATGACTTACCCTATGCCAGCACTGTTTTCTTACATCAAACAACAGTTTCAAATGTGACTCAGACTAAGGGCAAAGGTGCTGCCGCAAAAGATTCTCTTTGCTATTCTTCATGGCAGATAATGGAACTACTAGAGAAATATTTTTTTTTTTTTGTAAAAAAAAAAAAGAAAAAAAAGAAGAAGAAGGAAGTCTTACTTCAAACTAGCATTGGATACTGTAATTCTCACTTCACAAGTCAATGCATCCAGTAAAGAGAACTCAAGTCCACATAGTAATACTTGTCCAGAGGCATTAACATGGTTTGTTCAGAAAGAAAGATAAACTCACCTTAAGTGAAAAAATAAATGCTAAATCATCTCTGCCCAAATGCTCCTGTTAAGAACAAACACAATGAAAATAGAACAGGAGAATAGTGAGAAGATGGCTCTCCATACTTCTGATTATTTATATCAACATATAAAGGGCATGAATTACTAAGACCCTGCAACACTAAATCTTTATCTGTTTCACCCCAGAGAAAGTAACAGAAAGCCAGTTTTTTTCTTCCAGTTCATGTTTTATTTAAAATTCATAACTAAGATGAAAAGAGCAAACATGAAAAATATTTAATTGTTTTCTTCTTGGGCTACCATAACTGTCCTACAAACAGGAGAAAAGAGGAAGCATGAAACAACAAGAGAAAGCACCTAATCTCTATTTTTCTTTATCATTCTCCTTCCACTGTTTCTCTAAAACCTAGTCAGGGAAGAGAAATGCTCACTATTTTGCTTTCTTTCTCTTTTTATCTGATTTATTTTCTTGGTTGAAAATGAGCAAGACAGAGTCTAGGCTAGTATTACTGAGGAAACTGCCTAGAAAAAATAAATTTATCAATGGTTAGATCAGCCAACCAATTGGCAATAGGATGATAGGCCCAACCTTATTTAAGGCCCCAGGAACCAGGTTTAATCAATCTTGGATTATAATATAACATACACACACACACACATATAATAAATGGGATAGTGAAATACTATAATCAGGCATCATATGCACAGATGAGACATTAATGTGGCATACCTGTCCATAAAGAAGTGCATTTAGATCACTGAAAGATGGAGTTCTCTCCAGCAGCCGTGCCTATATATTAACGACATATCAATAACCATTTTCCAATAAAAATCATAATAAATATGATATAAAGTATATATTGTAAACTATCATGCAACCTCTTCAAGAATTATTATATAGAATAGAGTAGCATCCGCTTAGAGGTGAAGTGTCATTGAAATATTTTTTTCTGGAGGCTGACAAAGGATAATATTCCAATAAATAATATTTATCTTCATGGAGAAAATCCATAAAGAGGGGGTGTAATATGCTAATAGCAAAGTGAAATTTTTGTCTTGGGATGATCATTGTTATGATAAATGAGGCTAAATGAATAATCTAAGGAAACCAGAGAAAGTAAACAAGATAATAAACATGAATGATAAAGAAAAAAACTTATATAAATGAGTGCAAAAAGGACTACTTAACAATCCCTAGACACTAACAGACATAAGGATTCAGAAAGATCAAACCTTAATACCAGCAGGGAAACAGAAAGAAGCTAAGTCCTTGAGACGCATATCCAATCTCTTCCCAGGAGGATATTTAAAAATTATCTGCAGATCATAAGTAGAGAGGAAAGAGGAGAGGGGAGTAATGAAGTCAGCCATGTGAAAAAAAGACTTGAGAATACAACTGATAAAGATGCATATACTAAATTGACCATCCAGTGATTATTAGACATATTAACCACATTGCAGGTGAAGCAAATGCAGACATCTCAAAGGGTGCAAACTAAAAACATCAGAAGATACAAAAATATACTAAAATTTTTGTGAATAAAGAAAATTTGCCATTTTTTGAAATGAAAAAGACAGAAAAGTATACTGATAACCTCAGGAGATACAGAAAACCAAATTATAAATATGATGCAAACTCAAGGAAAATTCAACAAGATCAAGGTACAAGCAGGATCAAATACCATTCAAAATAGGAGTTTATGGAAGCATTAATCCCATAGCAAACCTGGGGTTCAAATGTAGGAGGTGCAGGTCCACGATTGTGTAGCATTCTATAGTCTACCATTTCAGATTTTGACATCTCCAGCTCCCATTTCTTCCGTCTGGCAAATGCTTCCTCTGCAGCCTCGAGATTAGCATCTGGATGGAGCCCTGCAACAATGAAGTGCTCAAAGATTGATGTGGGCTCCTTGTACTTAATTTGGTCCTGCAATAACACCCTCAAATCATAATCCAAAAATCAGAATGGTCTCTATCAGAAAAGGTATAAATAAAAAAAGAGGTATTCACCAACTTTAGAAACATAATTGACAACACCAAGTACACCATATAATATAGAATACAGCTAAAACTTTGATTTCCCAGAGAACTTTACAAAAAGGACATCATGCAGAAAATTAAAAGGTAAATGACACCATGTACACAAGATCTTGACAACTTACGCATCTATTTCACCATGAGAATAAAGAAAACACCGGTGTAAATCAAATAAAAACAGAAAATGAAGAGTATTAGTTGATGAGTACATGCCATCGTAAATCCTGGTATGTAACAAAAAGTTAGCTCCATTTTCCAAAAGTGCAACACAGGGATGAAAGAAAGAAGAATCATGGAGGCAACTTTGCATGATATAAAGATGTTCTGGCTAAATATTAAAACTGAAAGGTAAATAGAAAATTTGTAATTGAAATTATTTGATTTTATTTTTCAAACTACCTTAATGTGTAACATGAAGCTTTAGTGCTGAATGATAATACAACATAAAAAATAAAGATATGAAAAAATTAGCTTTGTATTGAGGAGGTGATTTTGCAATCTAATGCTTCACCACAGCAAACAATATTAGGATTTTCGTAATTAGCCAAGAAGTGTCTCAACAAAGTCGTTTCTGATCCAGAACACCTGCCCCTCAGGTAAAACTTAGAAGTGCTTTAGAAAAGATATGCATAGAGCAGAAGCCTCGTATTGAACAAAAAGATTATCTTTTAATCACTAAGATACAAAATCAATTTCTAACGATTCCTATTAGGTAAACAAGATTGAAACAGGCTCCATACTTCTACATGTGATGGACAAAATGGGTGCCTCTAGATTATTCCATTATCAAAAACAATCTAAACAAGAAACACCAACAATCTGAACATAGATGTAATGAAAAATAACCTAATTGACATCCTAATGAAATTAACTGGAGGAAGAGTTGTCATCTGTCAAATTCCTCTAGTATTTAAACTATTTGTTTAGTTAGCTATGACTCCTTAAACTCCCAGTAAAAACAGTCACACGTAAGGTATTCTAGAGAAACACAACTTTAAATGTCTCTTACCATTGGCTATTCTTAATGCATAACAGTGAATCTAGTACGCAAAACAAATTAAGTAGAAAAGGAAAATAATTAATCTTTCTTTTGAAAAATAGGAGACCTTACATGTAAAACAATGCAGTAAAAAAGGAAAGAATAAAAGGGGGTACGGAAAATAAGACCACCCCCGGGAGTACGTGACTTTGCAGGTCATAACATAAATATTCAACACCACAAGACATAACCACCATACAGCAAATTTCTGGAAACAAAATTAATAACCCAGATGATGCACGAACCAACTGCAAAAAAACTTCCAAAAAAAGAAGGATTGGATTTTAAATACCTTAGTTTTGGAGTGCAGCTGATACCACTGGCGTTTTTGATTTGCCAAAACCTCAGGATTGAAGCTTGAGCGGTGCCTCTCATCCCTTGAGTTACCACCCCATCGCCAAGCCTTCTGCACAGAATTTTTCAATTTCAGAAAACTATTACTGCGCCTGTGTCCAGGAGCCACAAGTTCACTTTGACTGCGTTTATGCCTCGGAGAAACAGGAGGAGGAAGTCCAGAGCTAGGTGGATACATGGTATTAAGTGCTTCCCCAGCAACTCTAAATGCCTCCTCAGAGAGACGAGTCCAATAAGGTGATGATGGCCTGTCTTCATCTTCTTTGTACTCCATAATAAAAAATTTAGCTCATCCTACAATCCTCCATATTTCAATTCACCAATTTAAAGAAACATCTCCATCATATATGGGGTATAAACCATATAATCAAACCAAAATTCACACCATTTAAATTATTCTCCAGATTCTTCAAGATACCCTCATTAAGTGGATCCCAATACAGGTACCCAGAATATGAAAACGGTCTCCTTTATATGCTTTGGCTCCTTGATTCCGCAAATACCCAAATCATGAAAGTTTCCAATATGCTTTTGTAACTCAACAAAACTGCCTCTTTTTACATAAAGTTCAAAAATTTGAAGATCATCCAGGCTTTATGATGCACTTATCACATACCCTTCTGCTAGAAAACTGAAACAATCCAGGTATTGAGGTCAATGAAAACCCAAATCAATAGTTCAAATCCCCTCTAGCTCTAAATTCATGTTAATGCAAAGAGGATCAAAAAACTGTAACGGAAGTTGGATATGACAAGAATTGAAATACAATTAATTCATACCAAAAGAAATGCAACAGGAAATAAACCACCCAAAACAGCAAAAAAAAAAAACATTTGACAGCATAAAGGAAAGCTTTTTTGCATACCTCTTCTCTGTTTTTCAGGTCTTGGGTCTTTCAGAGAAGAGAGAAGAGAAAGTTGCTAAGAATAGAAGGGAGTTACAGAAAAGGAAGAAAAGGGGAGGTTATACATGAGTGAAGGAGATTGAGTAGTGAGTTTTTTTGCAGAGAAAAAATGGCAAAGACAACTCAACAAACATTTCCCTAAGATGCATGATCAAAAAGCTCCCAACTTTCTCACCCAAATGCTTGTCCCTGATGCTGAATTTATCCCAAATTAAAGCATATTAGTATTAAATTTAATAGCATGAAATTTTTTTATGACTATGAAATTAATGAATTGTGTAGCAAACGGATTGTTAATTATCAGATTCTGCATCAATAAAAAAATAATTAAAGTTGCACAAAATTATCCGATTGGGTTGCCTTGTCCACATGACATTTAGTGCGTGAGCTTTTTTAAATAAATGGATCTCTGTAGAACCTGACTTCGTGGGCAAGTAGCTATAGTCATTTTTATAAAATTTATATTATTTTTGTAAGAGTAACAGTTTGAGTTGATTTTATGATTAAAATATTTATAAAAAAAATAAATCTCTGTAAATTTTTTTTTAAAACAATGTGTCATAGGGATTGGTTCGAATTTGTCTAAAAGGAGGAAAGATGCGTCACAATGTGATTAAAGATTACTTAGGTCAATCGTTGCCTTAGGAGAAGAGAAATACACTTATTCTGATGTCATTTAACTCGAAGGTTTAAATGTGAATTTTTGTAATTTTAAATTGATTTGTTTTAAAAGTTATGATAAATTTTATTTTTATTTAAAAAATTAAAATTATACAAATTTAATATTTTTTATGAAATAATAGAATTAAAAAAAAATAAAGGATTTAAAACAAAGTACAATCAATGTTTAAGGTTGTAAGTTCATAATATATAATATTATTTAACTCGAAGGTTTAAATGTGAATTTTTGTAA